ATATTTAAATTAAAATTATACAAGGATTGTAATTTATGTTAAAAACTAATCTTTCACTGAAAACAAATATCATACAAATATATCACTGATATTTATTTCAGCTTATACTTCCGGCGCAACCTACTGTGATAAATATTCCAGAATCTCTGGCCCAGCATTTCACTACGACGCAGTTTACGAATATCCCAGAGAAACCTTAATTCTCATATCGCAGTTTACGAATGTCTCAGAGAAACTCTCTGATTGTGTCGATTAATTATCGAACGGAAAAAGGAAAATACAATAGCAATGTTTTTTTTACGTATCAGGATAAGCTGTGATTATATAAAAAAAGAAAGAAAAAAATAACGGAAAACAGAACCGAGCAGGAACAGGACGCAACTGTATTTCTAGACAGTCTGATTTTGTAAATTATTCTACGAGGAAAACACTTGTGTATTATATATATATGTATATGCGGATATGCGATATACAATTTGATATGATATATGATCTATGACGTTTGTTTATTACTATGTAAAGTGACAGACTTCGAAATTAAACATTAATTACTGTTAATCGTGGCGTTTTGAATTTACTCTTTTTCTTTTCTTTTACCTAAAGAGGATCATGAGAAAGTGAGAAAATTCCAAACGCTGCGAGAGTGCAGACACAATGGACATCCGAATTTTACAAAACGTGAAAAAACATTCGTCTTTTCTCATCTCTAAACTCCTCAGACCGTGTTAATATTTAAACAAAATAATTTACACGTCACTCATAGAGCTAGCGCGATAAAAAAATAAGTTAACATTCGTTGAAACAACATTATACATTTATGCCTAACAACAATTTTTTGTGCTTGCACTTGCGAATTTCTTGCCGACGTGATACTCGATTTTCTCACACAGAATTTCTTGCTATAAGACACAAAGGGGAGTTTACTTCTTGCGGAAAATACTCGACATGCTGGGCGATTCAATTTTCTGTTGAAGAGATCTTGTTCATCTTCTGGCAGACATTCACCGTCGTCATCGATAGGGAAAACCCGGAGCTCGTCGAGTGTCCTGGAATGAAGATAATTTTTTTACAAACGTTTAAACATTTTTCGTTATCGAGAAAATGTGTACAGGATACATAATGTTTCTAGAAAAGTATTCAATGGTCCAAAGATATCGAAATTCAGAAATATTCTACCAAATCTACTATGGATTATTGCGACTGTAGATTACAATTATATAATCACAGTAATTTCAAATCCAGGTCGCTGCCTGGTCTGCCGAGATCAGGAGATCTTTTTTTCGGCAATCAAAAATTCCAAGAAAATTAGCGTGTCGCTATAATAATGAGGGATGTTCGAAAGATTGCACCGCGTGATAAATTACAGTAATAAAATATAAAATTTCTTATATTTCTTTACCTCTGTATGTCTTATAGTTATTAATTCGTCAATTATTATAAACTGAAGAAAATAAGCTGAAGATATATAATTAGTAATCCTTAAGATATATGTAGTGATCCTTAAGTCCTAAGAAATTAATCAATCATAGTTAATTATTTTCCTCACATTCGATTGTGATTGATCAATTTCTCACAGCAGATCTTAATGGAACACTTAATAAAGTTGTAGGGTAGTATTTCATTGTCGGATCTTTTATATTTAAGGCCGGCTGGAGTAATCTTAAGAGAGAGAGAGATGTTATAAACTAATCACTCGATTGTTAGATATAACAGAGCCGTATATATTATCAACCTTAAGCCTGTCTTGAAATAAGAACCGACTATGTATACTAGCCTTAATTTTACTCATTAATTGTTCGTTGCTTAGCAAGGAAGATTTTACAGAAAAATATATTGCTCTTTTTCTTACCTATATAACAGGAGATGAGGTAATATGCGAAATCGAAATATATACGCAAGTCGTCCGCGACTTCTCTGCATATATTTACTTCGTTTACTGTCTTCTCTATGGTATACGGTATTATTCACTTTACTCCGTTGAGGTTTCTGTTCGTAATATTCTCGATTCGGAATATTCGTAAACTGCGTCGTAGTACAATGCTATGCTAATCTGACAAATAAATTGAAAATAGGTTAAGCACGTTTCCCGTGTTG